AACCTAGCTTGTGTCGAGAAGACGTTAATCCCTCTCTCTCTCTCTCTCTCTCTCTCTCTCTCTCCCTCCTCTCTCTACGCCAGCCCCCACCCTCACTTCGCATCCCACACTACTTCACACAGCTTTCGCTCAAAGAGGTAATTTGGCAATATATAACGTGCAGTTTCAAGTGGTAATTGGGCATTATATTACGAAATGAAAATGAAATGAAATCGATAACGTCCTACTGTTCTGCTCCGACTGGCATTTCATTAGGTGCAACTTAAATAGATGTATTAAGTGTAGTTAATTGACAATTACAGTAAGTTTAAAGAGATAATTTGGTCAATGTAACCCTGAAGATGCAGCTTAAAGGGACAACTTATTCAGTGAGCTTAAGTGCCACTATTATGTTACTAACTGGTGTGGACCCATGAAAGGTGTTACAGTATTGGGTCTTTAGATTAGGTTCTTGACGACAAGACTGGTTTAAACTTGACACAATACTTTTATTCTTCTTTAAACATATGTACAAGACTTGTTCTATAATAATACTTAGTTAACAGGTTCTTCATCTGGTAGCGGTCTTGTTTCCAGCTCGGTTCTCAGATCTGGCTTGGACACAAACGTTTTATCTCATCTTTTATATTACTGGGCAGGATCGATGTCCAGCCTTGAATTCTGGATACCACACCCACGCACCGTGACCTGTTTGGTCAGTATTCAGTCTGTGGTGGGTTAATGCCCCGAACGGACAGATACTTGTTGACCAATCCGCTACGGACAGGTGTTATATTTCAGATTACATTATGGCCGGAGGTTGCAGCTGGTCATTATATAATAACAGGTTAAGCTTCCAGTACATATTGCTTTACCATACAAAGGACCTTCCGCATGGCTGTTAGTCGTACCAAGCTAGTGCCAATCTGATAAGAATGCTAATCGATTTCATGTAGTGCGGGTGTTAAGTGATATTTCCTAAATAATGTCAATTGTGTAACAAAGGTTGAACATGTTATTTTCCAAAATGGAATAGTGGTCTTTGGATAAAAAAAAATTGAAGATACAGTTTGGTCCGCGTCCCTTTAAAACATATAAACAGAAAGTTCAACTCATCACTTTCTTGTCCCATCATATAACAGCTACATATAAAACTAAAAATGTCGAGGAAAGTTATTATCTCGCATTCATTTAATACTCTGATCTATGTAGTGCAGTCAGGTCATAGATTTTCGACTTGCCTCATTAATTTCACGTTGTCAGCTTTTCACGTGGGGTACCTGGACATAAAATCAATTTCATCAGATACAATAACAATAATTAAGGCACCACTGTACACGTAAATCAGTTTTTTTAGTGGGCATCCTGTTGTTATTTGACATTATAATCGTTTTATTTATTATTCTTAAATTCTCGCAAATAATTAAAAATGTTTTTAGAATATCAGCGTGAGCAGATTAGAGAACCTGCTGTATTAATAAAATGTCAACCTGAGGCTTTTTATGGTGTATATATAGTATGGCTTGTCACATTCTGTTTGCAATTGGTTTTATGGTCTCATCTACGTTTTCGTGAGCTCATTTAATTACCGCCTGTTGCAGTGGATTTATTGATCTTATGAACTTTAAATTTATAGATTGGAGAGTGAAATTGTCCTTACCTCCACACACCGTCAACATGTGCATGACATACTTTATACTAAAATTTGTGACTTCCGTTCGTTTGTTTGTCTGTCTGTTCAGGGTTGACGGCTACACTAGGGCTTTCCCGTGGCTGAAATAGGTATATAGGTAGTAACATAGGCCTGGTGGTGACGGCCTACCACTTCCGGTTTCGGTGTTATGCTACTTTCAGTTCACGGCTATACCCGTACTACGCAGTGTCAACCGGTAGTACAAAATAAGATACAAACGGGCGCAAATGATTTCCACCATAATATACTTAGCAATACCTTTTGTCAGACATTTTAGTTTTTCACCGCCGCCTAACCCAAACTCCTAGCCACTTCACTGGTCTGTTTTGCTGATGTCACATCGTTTTGATGTCATCTGTGGGACAGCTACTAGACGTGCGGATTGAACGAAAACCGAGATCAAGTCGTGTAACTGTTGGGGTACACGTAAGGAGCCCTTGAAAGCTGGAATTCGATGTCGGGTAGGAAGCAGATAAATGGAGTTTAAGTTTCTACCTTTCTGCATTAACCACAGAGGCGGATCAAAGCTCAGATGGGCCCTGGGCAGCTCGACCAGCTGGGCCCTTTGCGGAACTGGTTTGCCGTAGTAAAACTAAGACCACTTAGTTTTCCGCTTTTTTTCAGCATTTCAGCTTTATGTTTTTTCTGTTCTCTCTTCTCCCATCCACACCTTTGCCTTTGGGTCATATCAACGACGAACCGGCCTACGTCAAAATGACGCGGTCTTCACGTAGTGAAAGAAAGACAAATTTCAAGAGAAAATCACAAAAACTTTTTTAAAATGAAAGCGAAACCGGATGCCAGGCTAATGCGAGGCGAGCGAGTGACCAGTCTCCCTGTTGGAGTGATCGATTACACGAAAGCTCATCTCGAGCGCTATGGTGTCACTGACCGTGTGGGCTTCTTCCCTCATAGTGAACGACCGACACAAGCAAGTGAGGATCGTCAAATTTGAAAAGGTCGTCAAAACTTTTATGGGACCAATTTTTTCTTGGGCCCTAGGCATTTGCCTACACTGCCTATGGGGTAATCCGCCTCTGACCAACCATGAAATTCTGCCTGGACAGCGGCGTTTCCACCTATTATTCAACGAATTGTTTTACGTGTACGTCACTGATGCCATTCGAAACACTAAACGTGCTTTGTTTTTTTTTTTAAATTACCAGGTCTATCAATCATGCACCCTATCAAAAGAACCAGTCCTTATACACAATCGTCACGACCTTTCTAGGCCAACATCAACATTGAACCTGCTGATTAAGATAATCTGAAGTAGCGGTAAATCTATGAGCGGTGTAGAGTTCACTTAAAGTTGTCTCCCTTTGTCACATATCTCAATACTATGCCCTATACTTGATTCTTAGGGGCATACTATCAAAGGGTTGACTATCTGGGCATCACAGAAAACTCTACGCCACTTCCGCCCAGGTTATATAGTTTATGAGACAACTCTTTATAGTTTAGATTTAATTGCTGGAATATAATTATGTCAAAATATTTAAATATGATCATGACCTTTATATAATAACCCGTCACAGGTGTCCTTGAAGGCATGTGTATTTCTGCTTAAAGGCAAAATGAAAAGTCCTAGTTTACTATTTAATGAAGGAGAAAGGGGGGAAGTTTTAAAACAAGTATGAGCGTACCAAACATGACGTCGTCGCGGCCATCTTGGATTTGTTACGCCACATCAAAAACGGAAGTCCGTAAACCGCTGCGCAATTTTATTGTCCAAGGAAAAACCAGCGAGACAAGGTTTATGCCAGAACTGTTAACGAAACGAACGTAGTCAGGGGCATGTTTCACGAAATTTTAACTAAGATAAAATCCAAATTTTAGCAATTTGATGGGATAATATTAGATTGATTTTAGTGCTTGGCCAATCAAAATTGAAGTATCTACTAAAATTTGGATTTTATGTTCAATTAAGATTTCGAGAAACGGGGCCACGGCCATTAAAATCTGATCTGGGAGCCACGGTGTCTAAGTGAGTAAGACGCTGGCTCGCTAGTCTGGGGGCCGTGGGATTTTCCGGCGTGGTTTGTCCTTGTCAATGATGCAGGATGGAGGACCTGACAAGGACAGCTGTCTAGTCGTTTGGATGGGACGAAAAACCAAGGTCCCGTGTACACATTGGCGTCCACGTAAAAAATCCCTTGACAGTTGGAATTCGATATAAGAGTAGGCCGTCCCATTCGACCGACTATAGACGCTTTTACTTTCCAGATCTACCGCCCTACACCACTGGCTGCAGGTGGAAATCAGGCTGAAAAATCCTTTGGAATTTTGTCGGCCAATACCGGGATCTAACCAGCGCATTACTTATTTAGCTAAAGCGTCGGACATACTAGTCGAATTTCTATTCGCCCGAATGATTCTCCCTGGGCTATACTATATACCGGAAAACACCGGAAAACTACCGGAAAACACCATGTTATACTGAATACCGGAAAACACACTAAATACCGGAAAACACACTAAATACCGGAAAACATCCTAAATAGGTAACTCGGAGCCTGGTCCTCTGGAAAACACCTTAAAAACCTAACCCTAACCCTAACCCTATCCCACCGCTGGTCCTCTGGAAAACACCTTAAAAACATAATCCTAGCCCTAACAATAACCCTAACTCTCCGCAAAAGAGGACCAGGCTCTTTGTTACCTATTTAGGGTGTTTTCCGGTATTTAGTGTGTTTTCCGGTATTTAATGGTTTTCTGGTGTTTTCCGGTATTCAGTATAACATGGTGTTTTCCGGTAGTTTTCCGGTTGTTTTCGGTATTTTCCGGGTGTTTTCCGGTATATAGCATTGCTATTCTCCCGAATCAAACATGTTTAATATGTTCATTCGCCGTGTTTATATTCGCCTAGCGTGTCCGTTTCGCCGAAGCATTCACCCGATTGTAGAATTCATTAGCCAATCACCACTGATGTCGAGAAGTCATCTGATTAAAGATATGGTCGCTGCCATGTTTAATCATGTGACGTGAAAGGTGATGCAATCATAGACCTTATGATAGTATTAGGATATAAAGTCCATGATGCAATCAACTGTTGAATCGGGCGGAGAATTCGCCTAGTGTGTCCATTCATACGGCTGCAATTCGGCGCCGAATGATTCGGCCAGTGTGTCTGCCGCTGTGGGTCTATTTACACCATATTGACATTTTGCGAATGTAATGCACTGAAAAATCTAAATTAGAAGCGATTCAGCGTTTGTCATAAATGCCTTTATGATATTAGATAACAAAAATAGTAACTTACATTAAATGAAATTCTTAACCACGTTGTAGAAAATAGTAACTAACATTAAATGAAATTCTTACTAACCAGGTTGTAGAAAATCTGCTGAGTGTTGCGGTCTGAATCCAATAATAAAAGTTAATTGGGTGTCACGACTATATATTATAACTATGTTATTATTAAATCAATAAAATGATTCATATCCTAACAGCTGTTACAGTATGTATATATATATACTTGTCTACAACTATAACATGTTTTATACTAAATAATATATGATAATATTATATGTAATGGGGATATATTTATATGTATCTACATTGTTCTTCCATCCTTCGTTCATTTCATTTGTTCTCCCATCCTTCGTTCATTCATTTATTCATCCATCTCTTTATTAATTTGGTTATCTTATATATATCATGCGCGACGTTAAAAACTTTTTAAAATTTAATCGATTTGTTTCGTAGAAATTGCACCTGGGGTCGTTAAACTTGTATATGGCACGTTAAAGGCGCAGTTCCAGATATATGTTAATTCTGTGCAACTATGTAAAACTCAATAGCTTCAATTGTATGATAAGCGTAATCAGTTATTGATTCCGTAGGATTTGTGCGAAATAATAAAATCACATACTTTGTTGTTATCCCAGGGGTGCTATGCGCCAATTATATAAAAATCTCACGTTCCGGGACTCAACTAGAGAGTTGATAATAGGCTTGTCATGTGAATGACTGTCTAACTAATAATTTACATAATACCTGAAGCTAGAATAAACACCTGCAATAGACAGATTTGTATTACTGAAGGTTATCATTTCCACAATTTCACATGCTTAAAATAAATTTGTTTAGACATCTGAAGGATTTAGGTCAAAATATATTATAAAAGAAGCTTACTAAAAATCACATGTTTAAAAAATGCAATGCCAAGGTCGCCAAGCAGAACTGTGGTTACGTGGCTGTTTATGCAACGACATTCCAAATATGGTTCCCTTGAAATTGTTGGCGTGGTTTCTCCTTGTCAGTGGTGCAAGCGGGGGGGGGGGGGGAGTAAGGATGGGAGGAATAACGGAGTTCAAGGGTACCCATCGGTGTGCACGTAAAGGAACCCTTTGCAGTTGTCATTCGAAAAAAGAGTATCGGCTATAGCGCCGTCGTCCGTGCAAAATCTCCCGAATCCTAGCACTCCGCATGGCGTCCTCACTCGCCCGGTTGGTGCAGGAAATTAGAACGTAAAACCCTGTGCCATTTCATTTCAAATATATAAATGTGATCCAGCTAAATAAATAACATGTCGTTTGTTTAATGTAGTTGTCTGCATTATCTCTGAATAAATCTGGTATTAAGCGGTATCTGTCAATCGACAGCTATTGTAAACATTGTAATCAACTTAAGAATGGTCCAGATGTTTTTTTCTACATAAAAACTACGCTATATCCACCTTCCCCATTTAAACACTTATACCTCATTCGCTGGGTGCCTATCAAGTGGTGGGGCGGGGGGGGGGTGTGATGGCCGAATGGTTAGCGCGTGCGCGCTGTATCATACGGCCTGTCATTGAGTCAACTGGCGTGGATTCGATTCCCTGGTTGTACCTGACAAAGAGTAGGGTTGCCTGTCCAACCTCGTGAGTTTACTCCGAGTCCCCCGGTTTCCTCCCACTGCTAAAGACCCTTACGCGCAAGCGAATTATTAAAATAAAATTGAACTATGTGTTGGTCCCGAAATGACCTAGTTTGTGTCGAGTGGCTCTCTGTCATTTATAATAAATAATGCTTTATCTTACCCTACATGTCTCTGACGGAAAGGTCAATTATAACCAACTACCAACTAGAGAAAAAGTGAAGTACCTTCAAATGACATAAATGTCATGTAAATGAAGTACTTTAAATAATGTAATATGTAATCTTATGTAAACTTATCCCATTTAAACCAATCAATTAACTTTTAAACTTTTACTTAAATTCAATTTGGCTTCCACTTTAAAACAAACACAAATTTGCACAAATACTAAATTAAACATACATTATGCAAGAGCTAAATCTGCCTATTGCAGGTCTTTCTTTAGGCCGAAAATGTTATCTAAATTATTAATTAGAGATTAACTTATCCAGACCATAACCAACTCTCGATGTCAACGTTAGCCTGCGATGTTTACTGGATTAGGATACCATTTGCTGCTTGACTTTCATTCTAGATTAAATCATAAAATGGATAATCGAAACAACTGGAACAACTTAAAGTAGCTAAGTCTCTAACTCAATGTCATCCAAAATCTTCGACATTGAAAACACGATTTATTTGTCGGTTTAAATCAACATTGATGTTGTGATCTTACCGGGAAAAGATGGGCTTCTGATATCCAATATTTAAGACAAAATAAACATTTTACAATTGGTACACGAATCGTGCACCATAATTCGTTTCAGCGCTATGTGTAATAAGGGACTCGAAAAACGAGGCTAGGCATATTCCACAAGTCATGTCAAACGGTGACGCTATATTCTTATCCGGAGAGCATGCCCAATAAATACTATCGGCGTAGACTGGAATAACCAGAAGCTAGAGATAGAAATTTGATTGAAAATACTGCGGTATGTCACCAAATCTAACCGATTAGAAATTACACTAAAAACAGAAACGATCAATTTATATACATTCATATTAAATCATTGTATGCTTTGCGACCTATTTGTGTCAATTTCTAGGTCTCAAATATTAGCGACTAAGCTCCTTTAATGTAAGTATACTACAAAACTTTGTATATCAAAGGAAATGAAAGATGTCTGTCTTTCGATATACAAAAACTATAGGATGAATGTCTCCAAGGGAACACCCATAAAATAACTCACTAGCATGTCTAAAGGGTTAAATACAATGCAGGGTAGATTTAAAGGAATAGTACAACAAATATTACATTTTATTAAGTTCAGATATCTTAATATCTAGAAAATTCTGGGGAACTTTCTGGACCAACAGCTGGTTCCAACCCCCGGACCTCCTGAACCACCACAGTTCCACTGATTTACTGTGTTGCAGGACGGAGGATCTGTCATGAAACAGCGCCTAGTCGTTTCGATGGTACGAAAATCATCCGAGGCCCAGTACACACGTTGGGGTTTCCATAAAAGAGAGAGAGAGAGAGAGAGAGAGGGGGGGGGGGGTAACGTCCACTCGACACAAACTAGGTCTTTAGCAGTGGGAGGAAACCGGAGGATCCGAAGAAAACCCGCGAGGTTGGACAGGCGACCCTACTCCTTGTCACGTACAACCGAGGACTTTTTCATAAAAGAACCTTGACAATTGGAATTCCGGTAAGAGTAGGCGGAAACACCACTGTTCGGATTACCCTCATAGCCCAAAGTATGGCGTATGTCAATCTTCATTAACTCGGTAGGTGTAGAAAAGTAAAACCAAAGTTCATTTCTTTTCATTCTCGTGACAAGGTGGGGATAATGGCTCCCGTTCTATTGTCGTACAGGTACAGGTTGTATATGTACCTGTGGGTCTAAAGGTCATGTACAGGTGATGTTGTTACAATTAGTCTATCAATAAAATGTCAAGGTTTAAGATATGAAAGGACACTGACCCAGGAAAGAGACAATATCCCGAGACTTATCACGAAAACTTTAATCTTTAACTTTTAACCTGATTAGAACTTTCTCTTCTGGCACAATGCCCATCTTTATTATCCCAGCAGGTGCAGAAAAGTAGGACGTTAAACCGCGTTTCATTTAAATACAGAAGGATCACTTTATCCATATTGCGACATTAAACATAGATTATGCAAGCGCTAAATCTGCCTATTGCAGGTCTTTCTTTAGTCCTGAAATGTTATATAAACTATTAATTAGACATTAAATAAGTTATCCAGAAAGGCCATAATCAACGCTCGATGTCATCGCTAGCCTGCAATATTTATTGGATTAGGAACCGATTGGCTGTTCAACTTTCATTCATGATTTAATCATGAAATGGATAATCGAGACTATGTTGGTTTTTAGCGTACCGACTTTAGTAATGATGATCGAGGCTAGGCCGAAAATTCAGTCGGTAAAATCTCGATTTAGAGTGGATCAATTTGACTGAAATCTTCAGCAAATTCCCTTTACATCATCTAGTTTTTAACTATTATAGTGAGAACTGCCAGCTCTTTATCTAATCTCCCATAATGTATCTTTAAATAAATTCTATGTAATATAAAGGTTAACCGCTCTCTTTGCACCAAGATCGACATTAGTTACACTTGAAATTAAACTTTAAAAAGCTGTGACCATTAAATGTATATAACCTTCTTTTAGGTTCAATAATAAGTCGATTTCTAGCGGATTGCAAACAACCTAATCGTAGTTAAGAAAATAGTAAGTCGATAGCTAATTTATCAAACAATATAATCAAAAGAAAACGACAGCTTTTTAAGACTATGCAGAATAAATCACAAAGAGTTCTTTTACGTGCCTGCAAAAGTGTATAAGTGACCTTTAACCGACTGAGCCACCGTGGCTCCGCATACCACAGGATCGTTGCGAAATTTGTAGCGGAACATGCTAAAAGTTAGAACAATTGAGTGACCCATGTACTCACAGAAATACAGTCCACCGCTGATAGTTCGAGACTACCATTGAAGCGTGCACATTCGCCGTGCCGAGACCAACTTTCTGACAGTATGATACTATAAATAGCCATGGCAGGTGCAATTCTCTACAAATCTATCAACTATTACAGCCGTAAAAAATTTATTGTTGACGATTTTGAATAGCAGTAAAATTAAGCTTCTTGGTTATTACAGCAGATTTAGAAATTACGTTCGTTTCATTTTTTAAATCGCTTTATCATTAACTGTACCGTTAAGAGCGGCATCTTTTGGTTTAGTACAAATAATATCTCTGAATCACTCGGGTTAGACAGGAACATGATACTAGCAGTAGTTTCTTTTTACTTTTACAAGCTTCTTAAAACGATTGTTGAGCTACCTAACGTGCTTATTTCTAAATTCAATTTCTTGTTCTAGCTTTCTGTTATGTTTCGTAAAAAAGTAGTCTTGATTATCCCGACCTGTCAATCAGACGTAGAATGGTCGATAGACTGGTTAAGCGAGACTAATTTCAAAACAAGGGCACGTAACCTATCTTTTACTCAAAAGTGTCTGGATGTTATGGACGACTCTTGGAACCAGTTTTCAGTCTATTATTTATACATGATTAATGATCATAGCTTATTAAGTACAACATGATCGTTTATTTGGTGACTATAATTGTGTGAAACTGATTTGAGGCTTGGCATATATATAAATATTGTGGCGTAATTGTCGAGATATATGGAGATATTTATTTATGGTGGGTCACCCTACAATGCTGTGATAGCTGATTACTGCGAGTATGCACACATCTGGACTTTTACATGATCGTTCAAATTAGTGAGACCCCACCCCCACTCCCGCTCCACTATACCGTAGCCCTGATTCTCCAATATAGATTTACAGGAGGTCCAAGGGACTATTTCATTGAGTAGCTGAGTCTCACACACATACACACACACCCACACACCCACATGTCCAACTTTATTCATAACAACTTCATCCCAAAGAGAAACTTAAAGATACACTATGGGAGATTAGATAAAGAACTGAAAGTTCTCACTATAGTGGTTACAAACTTGATAATGTAAAGGGAATTTGCTGAAAATTTCAGTCAGATTGATCCACTCTGAAACGAGAATTTAACAATTGAATTTTCGGCCTAGCCTTGATCGTCATTACTAAAAGTCGGTACGATAAAAAAATATAACATGAATGGAAGTTGAGCAGCAAATTCGATCCTAAACCAGTAAATGTCGCAGGCTAGCCATGACACCGAGAGTTTAATATGGCCTGGGTAAGTTAATTAATGTCTAATTAAAAATTTAGGTAACATTTCAGGTCTAAAGAGGCAGATATAGCTCTTGCATAATGTATGTTTAATAAGATGAAGTTTGTTTGTGTCTGCAAGGGTTTTGTATCAAATGCAACGGAGGTTATAAAAACATTAGGCTACTTAATATCCACAACCTGATTGTTGATTTCCATTAACTTCCATTATGTTTTTCGTTGTCGATGCAATGTAAATCAGAAATAATTCATCCCCCCTAGAATGTCGTCATAGCTACCTGGTTAGTGTTTTTTGCTGTTATTTGTTGTTGTTGTTTTAACCCTCCGTTAGGTTTGTTAGTGCATCTCGTTTATGCAATAAATCAAAAGATTTAAGAAATGGGCATGAATTGTGTTTCATGAGAGAGAGAGAGAGAGAGAGAGAGAGAGAGAGAGAGAGAGAGAGAGAGAGAAATGGGGTTTAACGTCCACTCGACACAAACTAAGTCATTTCGGGACTAACACATGGGGTTCAATTTTATTTCAATAATTCGCTTGCGCGTAGGGGTCTTTAGCAGTGGGGGTTAATCGGAGGACCCGGAGAAAACCCACGAGGTTGGACAGGCGACCCTACTCCTTGTCACGTACGAATTGTGTTTCAAGCAACTGTAGCTAACCAGTAATTATTTAGACGGGGGGTCAAGGTTACTAAGTAAGTAAGACGCTGGCAGCGGTCCCCACACACTGATTAGGAAGGTTGTTAATTTGTTGTAAAGAAGATATTGCGTTTTGTGGAAATTTCTTTTGTGTTCTGTATACGCTATAAGTATTAATCAATAAACCAAAATAATACGAAAATTATACATCACGTGTCCGTTTTTCCGGCTAGTTTAGAATTATCATGGGATGGGCGGCGCTTCAACGTGCCTAGGAACTGTAAATCAATGGCCATAGTAATCGACGCTTTATTATAGAGGACGTCATTGGTTATTCAATATTCAATTTCTCTTGTGGAATCTTGGTGAAGTCCATCTAGTGAGTTGGGCTAATATTGGAAATACGTTATAACATTGTGTGAAATAAGATCGATTTCATTACATCTCGGGAACTTCTTTTGATTTTGAGTACGCATACTGTACAAACATTATTTAATTGTTCATTTTATGTCGCAGATTTCCCTTGATGACGTACATGCGGTGGGTCGGTTTGTTTGCATTTCAGAACTGATTTTATTTATCAGAGTTAGTTAAACCGTAGAAAGGGACGCGGTTGAACCTTTCTTATTGTGACTAAACCCGTTAAACGGTTAAGCTTCTTATGGTGACTAAAACCGTAGAAAAAGACGTAACTAAACTTCTTATGGTGGCTAAAACATTTAAACTGCTTATAGTGACTGAAACCGACAAACAGTTACACTTCTTATTCTGACTAAAACCGTAGAAAGGGGACGTTATTAAACGTCTTGCGGTGACTAAAACCGTAGAAAAGGGATGTAGTTAAATGTCTCGTGGTGACTAAAACCAAGAGACATAGGCGTAATGTCAACACCATTATTATTTAAGAGATAATTAAGTGATACAATTTATCTCGTGGGTTCTCGATGAAGTTCTAGTCTCGGGTGAACTTGTATGATTACAAACAAACGATACATAAGCATCAATAATGAATTGGACAAATGACACCGTTACTGATGAAGAACACAGATCAACTGCTGAACAGATCATAGTCATAATAATAATGATTTTAATCTTCTTTATTTCCATAGCAGGTAACGCATGTGTATGTTACATAATAGTTAAAGACCCAAAACTGAAAAAGATTTCAATGATAACCGTGTTCAACCTGGCAGTGACTGATCTCGGATTTACTAGTACAAGTATACCAATATCCGTCATAGTTCTTATTCAAGATAAATGGCCGTGGGACGGTGTCGTCTGTCATCTTAATGGGATCACTATGCTCGTATTTGGAATTGCGTCTCTGATGAATCTTGGAGTTATTGCAGTTTCTAGGTATATTGCTGTGTGTCATTCACAGTTCGCGAAAACATACCTGACTAAAAAGTTTTATATCGGTAAGTGCATTGTATAGTTTATTCCATTAATGCCATAATATTAAAAATCCTGGATAACATGATTCTTTTCTTTTTAAAATTATGTTATCAAACAGGCGCGGATAGGGGGGGGGGCACCCGGCGCACGCCCCCGCCCCACCCTATTTTTTGCGGTGGCGAACAATTTTTTGCCCCATATATTCTCGCGGGAAAAGTTTAGGTTTAGGTTTAACAACCAGTTTAGGTTGGAAATCGTAATTTACTCCGAAACGAGTCGGATGGTGACTTGGTTGATTGCCCGTCTGTCCGCCGACTCCCAAGTGAGGGCAGCACGCCCCTCTCCCCTTTCTGCAAATCCTGGATCCGCCCTTCTCAAATTTGTTTTGTTATGTTTTGATGCCCTTCTTTATTGGCCCACATGAAGCCGAAAAGTAGGGCGATAAACCCCCTTTTATTTCATTTCATTTTTAAAAAATATGATACCAAATGTTTTGCTGAAATCCTACGGTTTGATACTAAATTGTTTCGGTTCTTAAAATATGGCACTAAATGGTTTTTTTCGGGTGAGTTCTTAAACTTGGACGCGGGGTTCTTAAAATTTGACGACAAATGTTTTTTTGGCGGGGAGTTCTGAAAAATTGACTCCAAATGTTTTTTGAGGGGAGTTCTTAACATATGACACCAGATGTTCTTTGGTGAGTTCTTAATATATGACACCAAATATGTTTTGTGTGCTTCCTAAAGTATGACACCAAATGTTTTTTGTGAAGGTGTGCGACCCTGCACCTTGCCATGTATAAGCAAGAGAAATGAAATGAAATGAAATGAAATGGAGTTTAACGTCCTACTGTTCTGCTCCTAACCTGGGCTAATGAAGACGGGCATACACCATACAGTGTGCTATGAGGGAAATTTTGCCCGGACAGCGGCACTACGGCCTACTCTTGTATCGAATTCCAACTGCCAAGGGATCTTTTACGTGCACGCCAATGTGTACACGGGACCTCGGTTTTTCGTCCCATCCGAACGACTAGACAGCTTTCCTTGTCAGCCCCTCCGTCCTGCATCACTGACAAGGGAGAACCACGCCGGAAAATCTGGATGAAATTTCTCGGCAAATGCAGGGATCGAACACCAGACCTCCAGGCTAGCGAGCTAGCGTCTTACCCACTTAGCCACGTGATCCCCTTAAATCATATAAGCAAGAGAGATCGAACCTATGACTGCATGGATGATCTAAGTTACTCACCCGCCCAACACCTATTTATCTTTAATAGATCCATTGTCTGAATACAATCATCGTACATTTTCCCTGAGAATGATAAGATCAAATTATGTTACCATATTGTTTCTGTTATTTATAGAAATTCACTTTCAACAAATTAAATAAAAAATAACCGTATTGTATTAAGTCATCGTTTTATCTAAAAACAAATTGCAAAGCAAAAATTATTGATTTTGTTTCCGTTTTTTTGGAGATTCTAACATTTCTGTGAGTAAGCAATGTGATATTTAAAGACAATGCATTAGATAATTTGGTTGCTTTTATAGATAAATTTTTGAAAGGCCATATGCATTAATGTCCATTGTCTGTTTTGCACTTAAAATGTCATTAAAACAGAAGATGATCATCAATGTGTCCAATATGAAAAACACATTCCAAGGTCCATGGGCGTGGGATGTTAATGACGGCGTGTTATTTAATCACAAGAATCTATTAAATTTTTAAACAAATAGATCTTCAAAACGCTCGCCTGTAAAGTATGCACACCGTATAGACCAGAATAATGTACAACCCAAATCGAATGATTGTACAAAACACAAAAATATCGAAATTTGAGAATTTTTTCTTTGGTTCAGTTTACCGAACAACGAAATTTTCAAAATAAAACGCTTAAGAAACTCTGACCTATGGAATGGTTTCTAATAAAAGGGCGCTAATTCTAGCTGGTCTCTTTAATATGTTTGAGAAACTGTGCGAAAAATTAATTCTCGATTTTTCCTTGTAATAAGATTATTTCTAGAGGCTCAAAAATGCCATCGAATGCTCAAATAACTTTAGTTTCTTTAGGAACGGTCTCTGTTCGGACGCTGTCCGCTAATCGTTCCTTTCCGTCCCTATTTAGCTGCAATATGAAAATACCGCTCTTCCCTTCCTCTGTTCTAGGGCTATTTTGGGATCCTTGCATTCTATTTGTCACTACGACTCTTTATTTTTCGCAAAAAGGAACCATGTCTGGCTACATCTGACACAAATTTATAATAATTGAACACTATTTCTAAGCAGAATTTTGCGATTAAAAATCATACACAAAATACCTTTGAAATGATCAGCCATTACGAGACTCGAACATGCGTAGACCGCATGATTTTTTTTTAATCGCAAAATTCTACTTGAAAATAGTGTTGAGTTATTATGTTTCAATGGCATTTAGTAATTGAACTAGAGTATACAGGTCACAATTCTATGGAATACAATTACTGCTTTTTACTGAGCGACGTTTCGACTAGGCTTCTCTAGTCATTATCAAGCTATGATTAAAAAAATGAAAATATGACAGGACAATATATACATGAATACAACAATGCTCAGTTAATGCTGACAAACCAGGGATGTAACTACTATATCGGCATCCCTGCATCGCATGGTTTGTCAGCATTAACTAAGCATTGTTGTGTACATGTATATATTGTCCTGTCTATTTTCATTTTTTATCATAACTTGATAATGACTAGAGAAGCCTAGTCGAAACGTCGCTCAGTAAAAAGCAGTAATTGTATTCCATAGAATTGTGACCTGTATATTGAGTTATTATGATGGCATTGGAAACATTTGACCATAGTTAACTTGAGGGGGGAGGCGTTTATCGACTTTCATAGCTGGGCCAAAAAGCTGTCCACCGCGCCGTTTAACTAATAACTTTATAGGCCTATCATTACACGGGAGAGATAGAGAAATGGGGTTTAACGTTCACTCGACATAAACTAGGTTATTTCGGGACTAACACATGGTTCAATTTTATGTAAATAATTCGCTTGCGCGTAGGGGTATTTAGCAATAGGAGGAAACTGGAGGCCCTGGAGAAACCCACGAGGTTGGACAGTCGACTATTGTTACAGATTCTTTTGTTCTTTTCAATAAAACTCTGAATAGTAGCCCATTGTGGACGGATTGACGACCAATAGGCGAGATGACAATAAAAGCCTACATTATTATTTGGGCGTACACCAAACAACAAGGTAAAGTGTTTATTGTAACAAACATAACGTTTTATTTCGTATTTGTATCAGGCACGAAATCATTATTCCAAATTTTAAAATTAACGATTCTTAATACAATTTACATATAAAAAAAATATCGTCGATATACAACATCCTTGTTTTTAATTGGCAATAACTACCCTTCTAGTTTCTATAAGAATGTTTTTAAAGGCGTATATGAAACAAATATAGGAGGTTTGGTTTATCATCATGATCACGATATCCAATTAAATAATTGTAATCAATATTAATTAGTTCAGCGTTTTTGCATTGTCCTCTCCTTTTGTTGAAAAGTTTTTAGAAGTAAGCCTAATCTGGTTAGTTTCTTATCAAAAAAAAATCGACTGTGTAGATCAGCAAACTACAACATCCAAATCAATGAATCTAAGTTCAGTCAACGTCCTATCGATGTTAACACTAATTTTATTGATTCGCCCCTTTCACAATTGGTATTTTCATTTCTGACATGGTTTATTTCGGTCATTTAGGGTATCTTATTAATTTGGTGTGTGGTTAAAAGAGAAATTTATTTGTTTTATAAACATTTATTAATGGTTGTACAGGTTTTGGTTAATAAAGTTTAATTATTGTCAATGTATATACCTTGGGGGTTTTTTTTACAGAATGATTGTGGGTATGTTTTAACAAGTTAGGTAATGAGGGTGAACGTAATATATAGAGGATTCTCGATTGTCAGTCCGGAACGTTCCGAATTGACGGAATTGTAATCGTGTGACGCGGAATAATTCAGTCCTGCCACAGTTCTGTCAGTCCCAACAACGAAGGTGGTGTGAGTAGAATCATGACGTAATTAAGCACAACCAATATGTTTCAGCTGTCATGGATGGTTGAGATGTTTTCTCATGCAGTCGGCGCATGCGTTCTAGCCCCAAATTCCCATTTTCACTCGATTGTCACTATTTTGGGGTTTGACAGAATTCAATTTCGGAACGTTCAATCGGACATCCCCAATGTGTCTGGACTGAGATGCATGTGCATGTGGTGCTTAGGTTTGATTGGATGTTTGAGCCATTCAAGGTTTTTTTGGTGTCCTAATTGAAAAACTTTGTCAGAGAGGTTTGAGTTTGGTTACAGGTTAGGCATGGCTGTTTTCTCTACATAGTCTAAGACTCCTTACGCAAGTTCAAATAGGTTCAAACGCACAATTGTCAACACATATCATTACAGTTTGTATTGGAATAAGTAATTCTATGACAAATAGTGAAGACTGGACCACTAAAATAGTTACCGAACAGTTTTTCTTTGTGGTTGTGCGTTCTACATTTGCATAGCGATGTTTCTTGTAATGACGTATTACTACGCAAGCCACCATGACACCGGACAGTTGAAATTTCGCGTTTCATCAAATCATATAAATATGCGGTAAGGCTTCACCTTTATTTTAATGAGAATTGATTTATTATATGTTAAGCTATGTGCAGTACTGTTTTGGGTCAGTTTATGTGTAAATTAAGGGAACTATAGGCCAGTAACCTTTTTGTAGTCATTTGACTAAAAAACTTGCGCAAAGGAACTCTGTAGGACGAGCCACTACTGTGGCTGGAGTAAGGCGGAAGACATCAGTAGTGGAACCATTTCTACGCTGTCCCGGCAAAGCTGCCTTCGTAACACACTGCATGGCGTATGCCGTCTTCATTTGCCAAGTCATTAGAACTCATTTCATTTCCTTGGTCTTGAGGGTTTTTTCTTTGTGCTTGCTCGTGATGTATTTAAACAAAATAATCTTGTTGTGTTTGGAA